TGAGGGGAATGTGCACTGTGCCCCATTCCCCTCACCCCCGTCGACGGTAGCTTCCTGGGAAACAACTGGAGCATTTTAGGAATAAACCGGAAAGGTGAAAAGAAATATAGAAGAATATAGGAAAATTGTAGGTAGGATAGGGCGCGATAGGGAGATAAATGTACAAAGTGGAGAAATTTCGAGGGGTTTGGGTCGCATTTTGCAAAATTTTCCCGCAACGGCACGTGCCTCGATCATGACTGCTGAAGTATCCACAATTCCTCCTCCTCCTCCTCCTCCTCTTCCCTCCAACCCACGGAGGGGTCGCAAGGGACACCCTGCATCTCATCGAAAGTGTCATAACTTCACTATATCTGATGACTGATTGCAGCGGAAGACCTTCCACTTACGGACTCGAGGGTGGGGTCACATTCCGAGTAATGTACCCCAACACCAGGACGCGCCTCTCTTGAAATATAAGCATGACCGTGACCCTCCTGTATTGCTCCAACTCCCTTTTTACTAATTTCTTCTTTGATCGAGTGAACTAAAAGACATGACCTTGTCTTATTTTCTGATAAACACAACCCCACCTTGTGGGTCAGGCTTCCTTAGGCTTGTGGAAAGATATAACGTTTTTCAGGTGCAACTGCGCTACTTCCATCGGCAACGCTCGGCGAACACTTCGCTAATGATTTTCTTCAGCAAAAAGCCTCTGAGACAATGGCTCCGTCGACCTTCAGTATGAAGGTAAAACTTTCTCTGTTTCTCTTATGCCTTCTTTGATGTTTTGATTTTTCTAACCAACTTGAACTCCTTTTTTGTCTTGGTGTAAGTTTAAGCATCTGGTCAGTTTGATTTTCACTCGCCAAACCGTCTGATTGCGCAGGCGCAAAAGAACAAAAAGTTTGGAAAAAGTTTCTCAGCAGTTTTAACTGCGGTACGTGGCGTGTGGGATTTTCGTGGTAAATGGATAGGAATACAGGGGGGGGGCAATGAAAAAAAGACACTTTCCTTCTTCGGCGATGTAAGTTTTACATTTTATCAAATTTTGAATAGAAGTTCCACCACCGAATTCCCACCTATTCAAACAGCTTCATTTTAAATATCACGATACTCCGACCGCAAGCTTCTGATGAGCGCCATCGAGAGATTTCTGCCACGCGTACGCTGATTCAGTGCCGAGTTAGCGAGTTTGTTGATTTTCTCTACACTGTGGACCAGCTATTTGAGCTTCCGCTCGGACCCGGTATCGGGGGGGGGGGGAGAATTAGGTCAGGTGACCCACATAGATATTCCATCTCCTTAGGTACTCAGCCCTTCCATTCCAAGTAGGCGAGAGTTTTTCCAACGCCCTTCGATTCCATGTGGTGTCACCCAATCCTGTAGCAGTACAAAGTTTCCAAGAAGGTATGGGCGACGACATGAGGGAGCATATTCTTCTCGAGTTGCTCGATGTAACCGCCAGCGCTCACCTCAGTCCGGGGTCCACGAAGAAAATATCGGTCTTTCCATTCCAAGGTAAGTCGTCCGCACATCAATCTGCGCCGTGGCGACTTGCGGTGAGATGATGTGGCTAGACCGTAGGGACGTTGTCGGAGCTGCTCGATGTTGGAGGTCATCCACATCGAGAGTACTGGTCTCTAGGTAGCTATCAATGGGTGATCCCATACAGTTTCGCAGTTGTTTGAATGTGACGTGAATTCCAAAGACCTTTATCAGTAGCGCGTGTGACTGGAATGACTGTACATAAAGGTGTATGGGTGAGAGGCAGCTTCTCTTATCGAGGCTTATCTTGGGGATGTTCCGCCTTGGTACTCGTATCCACCTCCTCTATCTGGGCTGCGTAAAGTTTGCTGATATGTGAGTCGGCCAAAGTGTCTTTTTTGCCCCCACCCCCCACTCCCTTAGTCTATCACACAAAAAGAGGTTGGCAGCAGCGAGTGGAATTGGGTCAGGAAATCAGGTGAGTAGAGTCCTAAACGACGTACGTAAGCGCATTAGCATCAGGATTGCTGAACACAAAAAGGGGTATGGTGACGGATTAATTAGCTTGGAGGAGTCGGGCGAGCTAATTCCTGCGTGTCGCCACAAGTAAGGATCTTCGCCGTCTAACAATTTCATTTTCTGTCCAGAGCTCTTTCAGAATATGTGGCTTACAAAGGCATAAGAGCAAAACATTCTTCTCGGCTATATGTACCTACTCTTTAGACCTTGTCAATTTATCGCGCATTTGCCATCAGAGGCAGTGGGCACGATGGCTGGGGGTGGGAGTTGTTGCAAACGCCATTTGTGAAAGTTCGGTGGAGCGTGGCTAAACGCCCTCTCGCAGCCCTCTCACCAATGACATTGGCAGCGACTGCCCACCCCTAGCCATCATGCCCACTGCCTTCGTTCGACTACTGAGTGGATTTCCCCAAACACTGTATATGGGGCGCGTTGTTTAGGCGCTCTCCTCTCAACTTCCAAAGCAATCGACCTCAACGACAAGTCTCGCCAACAACTGGTCAACAGAATACGCTACTCGTCCAGGTCAACAGGTAAACAGCTGCTTCATTACCGTACCTCAATGGGATGTCATTATTTTCCCCCTTCAGTTAGCATCACAATGGTCTCAACAGTACAATGCCGCCCGACCAGCATACGAAACTGCATGGGCTGGCGCCACTAACACCACATTTCAACATCAATCAATGGCACAGAGGTAGATGAGATTAAACTTGATTTCCAAGATTCTCAAGGCTTGTCAGTCTTACTTTGGCTTACATCACGGTCACGCTAGAACCTTGAGAACCTTATGGCCATAGGAAGGGGCATTCAAACGACTCCTTGTGTAGAAAAGCGATTTTCGCAATAAAGATAAGGACTTCTGCCTGCACCCACTGGGGCAGGATTCCGGGGCTGGTGAAGCAGCCCAGGGGAATTCATTTATTTTGACAGCAATAATCCCGCGTTTGCACAAAGAGTCTACTGAATGCGCTCAGCCTCCTCCCAAAGTTGATTACGCTCCCATTTTTTATAGAGTTTCATTTCTTTGGTGAGTTTTCAAAAGTAATTCCCAAATTTTCCAGGGTACTTTGAAGTCATATTTCTAAGCAATTTTTTGCAGTTCCACTTCTGTCGATAGTGCAATGTGGTCGGCGGAGTTCCTGGACAATGCAGAAACATCACTGCGGTCTTCACCTGTAGGCTTTCAAAACTTAACCCACACATTTTTTATATTTTCGAGGGAAACATGATGTTGTGCTGTACTATA